GCGGCAGCACACCTGGGAGTGGGAGGGATATACATAGCCCATGCAACTGCTTTGATCCAGGGAGAGACAAACATAGAACCCACTAAGAGTGCAGAAATCCAGGATACCCAAATAAAGGAAAGAAGAAAATTCCCAATCACTTCCAACCCATTCCCCAACCAAGGGAAGAAAGGACCCAGGAACAGCCTCTGCCTATAGGAAAGAGGAAAGAGAAACCACACCCAGGGTCACCCATTCAAATTGAGGACCTCCAGGATACCTCACTGCACCTATCAAGGTCACAGGACACAAACCAGGGTGCCAACAAACCTGTCCAGGGTTACCCACCCCAGCCAAAGAGTGACAGGGCACCCAGGCATTTCTTCTAGGAACTCAAGAGCTCACCACATTTTTGATGAACCAACGCAATGTCACTACGTGAGCAATGATTCATTAAGTGCCCCAGTGCCTAGGCCATGGAGGCACTCACATGCAACTCCAACACTAAATACAGCCGAAGTACCCATAGGGAGACTACACTACTGTGTCCACCCAGAACCAATACTAAAACATCCTATTCAATGGTCAATATAAAACACATCTACAGGAGGAAGTCTTTCTCCTCAAAGCCCACTCCAGAGTAATAAAAGAAGTAACTGCTCTACCAGATGACCAGACATCAATGTAGATACCTAGAAATACTATATATATATATATGCAATTCTATATTCTATAGAATATATATAGTATGTATATAGTATTATATAGAGAGAATATATAGAATATAGAATTGCATATATATATATATATATATATGAGACCACCAAAGGAATACAGTAATTCTCAAGTACTAGACCTCATAGAGCAGGAAACCCTTGAAATGACCAAAAAGGATTTCCAAGCAACAATCTCGAGAAAACTCCATGAGATACAAGAAAACTCAGACAACACAATGAAATGAGAAAAAATATTCAGGATATGAGGGAGAAAATTTACAAAGAGATTAATACCTTTAAAAGGAATGTAAAGACTTCTGGTCAAGATAGTGGAATAGATAGTACCCAGCATCACCTTCTCCCACAATCAACCAATTTACAACTATTAAAAAGCAACAATTAGGGGGCCGGCCCGGTGGCGCACTGCTACAGTGCGCTGCTTGGGAGCGCGGTGGCGCTCCCGCCAAGGGTTCGGATCCCACATACAGACCGGTTCCCACTCACTGGCTGAGCGAGGTGTGGGCGCAGCACCGAGGGTTGCAATCCCATTGCCGGTCCCGGTCCAGTACGGGTGCGACACTGAGGGTTGCGATCTGTTGCCAGACACGAAAAAAGACAAAAAGGAAAAAAAATAATAATAATTAAAAAATAAATAAAAATAAAAAGCAACAATTGCCAAGCTGGGGCCACTATAGCTCAAGGGAAGAGGAGGAGAGACCTACGGAATTCATGAAGGCAGGAGAAGCCACAATGAGAGAAAGAAAGGACCGCTCTGACCATTTCTAGCCCCATCCACTTCAAGGCTGACCCTAGCGAGCACATGGAGCAAGAGCTGGCAAAAACTGCAACTGTGCCCTTACTATGAAGTTGCTTGGAGGCTGTTGGGAGAAGAGGACCTTGGTGTCTCCCAGGCCAGCAAGAACACTAACAGGGTTCCCACGGACCCACATAGGAGTGAAGAGCCATAGACAACTGAAAAGAGCCACTCAGAGGCCGGTGAGTCATCACAAGGGACCAGCACATGGCCCATCCCATGGGAAGCATTTGGAGCGCAGGTGGTGGGGGAGAAGTGCCCACCAGGGGGAACATTATAGCACAGCATGGACAGCTGATCTGCCCTCCAATCAGCATAGGACCACTCAGGAATTTCCTCAACATGATAAATGGCATCTAAAAAATCTGCAGCCAGCATTATGCTTAATATGAAAGTCTAAATGCTTTCCTCCTATCAGGAATAAGGTAAAGATACCCATTCTTACTACTCACCACTCGTAGTCAGTATTGTACTGGAAGTCCTAGCCAGTGCAATAAGACAAGAAAAAAAAAAGGCATACCAATTGGTAAGGAAGAAGTAAAACTGTCTTTATTCTATTTCTATTTCTATATAGAAAATCTCGAAGAATCTCTCAAAAAGCTATTAGAACTAATTTATGAGTTTAGCAAGTTCTCAGGATCCAAGACACAAAGAAAAAAATCAATTATATTTCTACATGCTAACAATAACCAACTGGAAACTGAAAAAAAAGTAGCATATACAATAACATAAAAAGCTGGTGTTGATAACACCAAGGTCAAGGATCCCCATAATGGCCAGCTGCCAAAAATAAAACATAAAAATAAAAAATATAAAAGAGAAATATGTAGGTATAAATTCTACAAAATACATCAAATTCTGTATGCTTAACTATAAAAAACTGATGAAAGAAATCAAAGATCTAAATAAATGGAGAGATATATCATGTTCATGAATTGGAAAACTCAACATTGTTAAAAAAACAGTTTTCTACAAATTAATTAATAGATTTGATGTATTCTGATTAGCAATTTTTGCCAAAGTTGATAAGCTAATTTTAAAATCATATGAAATGGTAAAGTAACTAAAGTAGCCAAAACAATTTTGATAAAGAGCAAAGTTTGAGGACTCATACTACCTGAGTTATGGATTTACCATACTACTTACAATAGTTATGACAAGTGTGGTATTAGAGAAAATACAGAGATCAATGAAACAAACTGGAGCATCCAGGAAAAGACCCACAAGATAACTGATTTTTAACAGCTGTGCAAAGGCAATTCAATAGACAAAGAATATTCTTTTTAATAAATGGTTCAAAAACAATGGGATATCCACACACAAAACATAAACCTCAACTCATACCTTGCACCATATACAAAAAATTAACTCAAAATGGATCATAGGCCTAAACATAAAACATAAAACTATAAAACCTCTAGAAGAAAACAGGGAAAAAAATCCTTGCTGACCTTTGGTTAGGCAAAAATTTCTTATATGAGACCAAGAGTACCAGCAATAAAAGAAAAAAGTAGACTGCATCAAAACTAAGAAATCCCACTCTTCAAAACTTTGTTACAAGAATGAAAACACAGACTGGGAAAATATTTGCACATCACATGATATATGATAAAGACTTGTAACCAAAACATAAAGAGCTCTCAAACTCAATAGTAAGAAAACAAACAACCTAATTTTTTTTTAATGAGTAATAAAAGATTTGGACAGACACTTTGTCAAAGAAGTGGCACAAGTACATGAAAGATGCCTGACATTATTAGTCATTAGGAAATACAAATTAAAGTTTCAATAAGATACCACTACTCATGTCTTACAGTGGTTAAAGTTAGACAGAGATTTTTGATGATACCCAGTGCTTGCAGGAATGTGACCTAACTATAACTTTCACACATTGCTGCTGTAAATTCAAAACTGTCCAGCCACTTTGGGAACCAGTTTGACAGTTTCTCATAAAGTTAAACGCACACTTACCACCTGACTCAGCAATCTCACTACTAAGAATTTCTTTTTTTTTTTTTTACCAGCAAGGGGATTGCAACCCTCGGAATGGTGTGGTCCATAATGCGCTCAGCCAGTGAGTGCACAGGCCATCCCTATATAGGATACAAACCTGCCGCCTTGGAGCTCCCAGCGCTGCACTCTCCTGAGTGAGCCACAGCCGGCCCTCATTACTAAGAATTTATCCAGGTGAAATGAAAACATATGTTCACACAAAAATAACTTTATGTGAATGTTTATAGTGTATTTATTTATAAAAGCCAAAAACTGGAAAAAACTTGTAAGTACTTTGGGGAATGGATAAACAATTGTGGTGTATCCATTCAATGAAATAGTAATCAGCAATGAAAAAAGAAAAATACATGCAACAGCGTGGTTGAGTCTCAAACACATTATGCTAAGTGAAAGAAGCCAGAAACAAAAGGTTACATAATACAGATGCTCCTTGACTTACATGGAGCTACGTCAGCATAAACCCATAATAAAGTCGAAACGTTAAGTCGAACCATGGTAAGTCAGGGACAGTCTGTATAGGGTTCCATTTTTACAATACTTTTGCAAAAAGAAAAAGGAAAAAAAAACTTTATAGGGACAGAAAACAAGGGATTGGCTTGAGAACCAGAGAGGTCTAGTTGCCATGTTCTAGCTGATCTGGTATTGACTTTGAACCTACTTGGAGACTTCCAAGACTTTCAGAAGACTGTCAGGCGTAGGTGATCGCTTCTGTAATGTAGAACGAACATCGTTTACTGCCCCGTCTCCCCCCCGCATCCCATCATTCTACGATCCAGAAAAGGGCCTGATGAAATTCCAACAGCCAGGCAGTGGAGGACTGGAACACTGGTCCAAACAGAAGTGGCGCTTCCTTCCGCAGTACCCAGGACGGTTTGGGAATGTCTCGCCTACGTTTTCCTCCACAGTTTTAGCAATTTTGAAATGGGATCTTACTCTCCGCGGAAGAGGGCCGGGGTCTCCACCCTCGCCTTATCCTGGGCCGACCTCGCAGTCCGGGGGGCGGGGGTCTCTCCTGCAGCGCCCCGGAGCGCGCCGCGTGTGTCCGGGAGCCCTTCGCTGCGACACGGAACGCCCGCGGGCCCGGGGGAGGCGCGCGCGAGGAGCCGGCGACGGCCGACGGGCTGGAGGACCTGACGCGCCGCGGCGCTCGCGCTGTCGCCTCCTAGGAAGGGCTGCGGCCCTTCCACCGCCGCCGCCCGATGGCGAGGCTGCGGGATTGCCTGCCCCGCCTGATGGGCACCCT